ATGACCTTTTCCAGAATGTAAAAAAAAAAACGTACTTTTTTAAAGAAACTGCTCACTAGTGCCCCCTATTGTGTGGTAGTCACATATAGTTTCTCAGAACTTCACGAATTGTGGCACACACATTCCTCATGGAATTGCGGACATATTACTAATTTGCTTCCATTAGCCCCGCCCCCGAGAAAGTCGGCCATTTTCAAAAATGTGCGTTTTTCATGCATTTTAAGCACATTCTTGCGAACTCCTCCTAGGGGAATGATCGGAAAAATTCCAGTCCAGGACAAGTTCAGCCCCTATCCAATATGATACTTAATTGCGGAGCACATTTTTGAAAAATCACTCATGGAGGTCGTAAGCTAACAGCGAATACACCATTTTTGACGATTTACATGTCGCAAATTGCTCCAAACTGCTCGCATATAGTTTTTCCGATATTCACGAAACGCTGTATACACATTGCTATTATGATTGCACACATATTTCAAATTGCTTTTCATTAGCCCCGCCCCCCAGAAAGCTGGCCATTTTGAAAAATGTGCGTTTTTCATGCATTTTAAGCACATTTTTGCTAATTCGTCATAGGGAAATGATCGGAAAAATTCCAATCTAGGGCAACTTAAGCGCATATCCAATGTGATGCTACATTGCGAAGGAATAGTCGATCGCTTGAACATGGAGCTCGTAAGCTAACGGAGAATGTACCATTTTTGACCATTTATATGTCAGATACTACCTTAAGCTACTGAGACCCGCCTGTCTGCCCGGCACATCAACTCTCACACACACACACACACACACACACACACACACACACACACACACACACACACTCACCTACTGTTTGTCCAACAACGCTGGCGGCATATTCATTACAACAGACACCTATACACTCCATAACCCTAACCCTAACCCTAACCCTACTGTTTATTTGTAGATATCTCCTAAAGCCTACAAATAAAGTGTGAAATGTACGCCTGTTACATATATTATTGAGCGATATATATTATACACACTGTTCTGCTTTCTGCACTGACCTCAGCAGCTGTTCTCACTGTAAACATCGCGTCACAATGAAAGCAGTTGTATTAAACAAATAAATAGCCTAACATCCAGGGGAGATGTGATTAGTGAGCAAACAAACGGTAAAGGGCAGAAAGTCTGATGCACATTTGATCATCTTAAATAACTTATAATCACAACGGGGACAGTTTGCAGAGCTGTGCTTCGTTGACATAAGTCCAGCCATGCGTCACGCCTCTTTTAAACATCACTGTTGGCTGAAATCTACTCCGGAGAATAGATAGATAGATAGTACTTTATTGATCCCAAATTGGGAGATTCTTGTTGTTACAGCAGCATAAAAGGCATTTACAATAAAACAAAACTACAAAATATACAAGAATAGAAAGAAAAATAAAATAAAATAAAATATAAAATATACATGTTGATATTATATATATATATATATATATATATATATACAAATATATATATATATATTCAAAATATATGGAATATGGAGTATAAATATTGAACAGATTATAGAGTAAAATGTACAAGGTGGTTTAATTTCTAGAGAAACTATGGAGCAGAGAGTTCTCTTCCAGCCAGAGGTGATTTGTTGTACAGTGTTATTGCAGTGGGCAGGAATGTTTTCCAGTATCTGTCCTTGTGACAGGGGAGCTGCAGCAGTCTGTTGGAGAAGGAGCTCCGTTGACTGTCCAGCTGCAGGTGGAGAGGATGGGTGGGGTTATCCATGATGGACAACAGCCTGTTCAGTGTCCTCCTCTCCACCACAGCTTCAAAGGGTTCCAGCTTGATGACTGACCCAGCTTTCCTGATCAGTTTATTGATCCTGCTGGTGTCACCGTCTCTTATGCTGCCCCCCCAGCAGACCGCAGCAAAGAAGAGTGCACTAGCCACCACAGACTGATAGAAGATCTCCAGCATCTTGCTGCATACGTTGAAGGATCTCAGCTTCCTCAGAAAATAGAGTCGGCTCATCCCCTTCTTGTACACAGCGTCAGTGTTGATCCTCCAGTTCAGCCCATTGTCTAAGTGCACTCCCAGGTACTTGTAGACCTCCACAACTGCCACATCCTCTCCTAGAATGCACAGGGGCAGAGGAGGAGATGTCCTCTTCCTCCTGAAATCAATTACCATCTCTCTGGTCTTGGCCACATTCAGAAGCAGATGATTTCTTCCAGTCCACTCAACAAAATCACCCACCAGCGCTCTGTACTCCTCCTCCCGTCCATCCCTTATACACCCTACCACTGCAGAGTCATCCGAAAACTTCTGCAGGTGGCATGACTCTGAGTTGTATTGAAAGTCAGAGGTGTATAAGGTGAACAGGAAAGGAGACAGCACAGTCCCCTGTGGGGCTCCAATACTACCAACCACCACATCAGACAGCACACTGCCCAGCCGGACGTACTGTGGTCTGTCCGTGAGGTAGTTGGTAATCCAGGAGATGGTGGACGAGTCTACCCTCATAGCCTGCAGCTTGTCACTCAGTAGCCGAGGCTGGATCGTGTTGAATGCACTGGAGAAATCAAAAAAGGTGATTCTCACAGTGCAACCCGATCCATTCAGGTTTGAGTGAGGACGTTGCAGCAGGTAAATAATGGCATCGTCCACCCCCAGGTGAGGCTGGTAGGCAAATTGCAGAGGGTCAAGGAATGATCTCACCTGCGGTCTGAGATGGGCCAAGACCAGTCTCTCAAGCACCTTCATCACATGAGATGTGAGTGCTACAGGGCGATAGTCATTGAGCTCAGAAGGAGTCGTCTTTTTAGGGACCGGAACAACACAGGACGTCTTCCACAGCACCGGGATGGTGCAGGCTCAGGTTGTAGAGATGTTGGAGAACAGGAGCCAGCTGGTGTGCACAGGTCCTCAGGACCCTGGGGCTGATACCATCAGGGCCAGCAGCCTTGCCTTGGTGGAGTTTTTCCATCTGTCTCTGGACCTGTCCAGTGCTCACAGTGAAGCGGGGGGGGGGGGCTTGATGGCAGGGGGGATATAGGGGGGGGGGTCTGAGACAAGATGAGCAGAGGGGGGGGTCAGCGGCAATGTGAGCAGAGGGGGGGTGCAGAAGCCAGGCTGGGTGGTGGAGGAGAGGTGTGAAGTGGATGTGGTGAGCAGAGGTGGTGGGGGGGGGGGATGCTGACGCCAGGCTGAGAGAAGGAGGTGAGGTGAGAAGTGGAGGTGGAGGAGACAGCAGCGGGCGGAGAGCTAAACCTATTGAAGAAGGTGTTCAGCTCGTACATCAGTGTACCCTCGGTTATAGCTCCTCCAGAGAGACTCCTCTCTCCCCTCTCCTCTACATCTTTGTACCCTCGGTTATAGCTCCTCCAGAGACACTCCTCTCTCCTCTAAATCAGTGTATCCTCGGTTACGGCTCCTCCAGACAGCCTCCTCGATAATCGATCCTCGACGAGCCTTTAGAGAAACTTTGATTTCCTTCGAGACGGCGCGCCGACCTCCGTTTCCGGGTCGCTGCCGGAGGACCTGGGAGTCTGGGACGCGAAAATTAGAGAAATGACAAACGGCTCATTTCCCAGGACTCGCGCACGTCTGCTTGACGCCGGGACGACCGGCCGCCCTCCCCGACAGGCGCACGGACGCGAGGGCCCGCTCATCACTGCGCACACTCCTGTGACCGCAGTTTTAATTGTTATTGTCTTTTAGCTAATTAGCTGTAAACTCGAGGCACTGGCAGTTTAGTAATTTGTTCATCACCACTCACCTTCAAAATAAGCCAAGAAAAGCCGGCATAACATGGCACAGTAAAGTGGGAGGCGCTGCTACCTGTCTGTCTGAAGTGACTGCCAATGTCCGCACCGCTGTGCGCGAGACGTGGAGGGAGGGAGGGAGGGTAGAGAGAGCATCGGAGCTTCACAGTCTAATCTCCCGACCTGATATTTTAATTTTGTATTCAATCAATATATTTGTGGAAAGGGAAACTGCGCAAACAGCAGTAGATATATATTCATTTATAAAAATAAAAAAAAGGGGAAAAAAGGGCACTTTCTCTGGAGGAAGAAAAAGGGCAGGGGCTCAAGCCCACTTTGATGTCTGTGTGCACGTGCCTGATGATCAGTATGACAGATGAACAGATCGCCACTGGGCTTACAACTAAAGACACAGCCACGCAAAACCTGCGGCATGTGTACAGCTCCTTATCTGAAGTGCCGGAGCCGTGTTCTGGTGCTCTCCGTCAGAACTGCACCCCTGTCAGACAAGACATATACCACGTGATGACATGTTAGGCTCGTGTTGTGTTCAAGGACCCTGACCTTGGCCAGGAAAAACAGGCACTCGCTTGTTTAATTATTTTGCGGTCTAGATTTCTTTTTTGCTTCTGTTTATAAATTACCTCGAGGGCCGTATCAAATTGTCTCGCGGGCCGTATACGGCCCGGGGGCCGGAGGTTCCCCACCCCTGGTTTACAGGTTCAATGATGAGCTGTACCTGTCGGGGAGGATACCTGCTTGATGAGCAACACCTGGGGAAAGAATATAGGAGGAGCCAAGCCGGATACGTCTCTCTCACTCCTCTGGGCACTCTCACTCCGTGCCAGCCTCGGGGACTTCTCTGGGCTCTCTCTCCGGGCCAGCCGCGGGGATCTGTTGCTGGTACCGCTTGGTCATTTTGAACACGGTTTCATCAGGTCACATTTTCGACACGCACACACATCCATACACCCATACACACTCAAACACAAACACACACACTTAGTGTGAGCCATGCTAATTTAAATGACAGTTAGAAATTGTGACTTTTGTCTTTTCTGTATGAGCTCTCATCATTTGACCTGATCCCGTGTGTGTGTGTGTGTGTGTGTGTGTGTGTGTGTGTGTGTGTGTGTGTGTGTGTGTGTGTGTGTGTGTGTGTGTGTGTGTGTGTGTGTGTGTGTGTGTGTGTGTGTGTGTGTGTGTGTGTGTGTGTGTGTGTGTGTGTGTGTGTGTGTGTGTGTGTGTGTGTGTGTGTGTGTGTAGGTGAAGCGTTCCTTTGGCCTGTGCAGTCTCCAGCTGACATATTTCGATGAGGAGAACGAGGAGGTGAGAGAATCTACTTTGAATCACTCTGGTTTGTCTTCTTGCTGTTTATAAGGCTGGGAAATATCCCCTATAATCTACCCATCATAATTTATTGTCAAATGTACCTGATGATAATCTCTGTCGTAACGGCTATACTCTTATTATTCTTTATACTCAACAATAAACAGAAAATAATGTATTGTAACTAAGAAATATTTATTTTATACATTCAGTAAAAAAGCACACTTAAATAGGAACGTATACGTTAAATATGCTACATTGCTGATATTATGTTACTGTAAAAATGCATGTCATGAATAGATCTGAATAACACTTCAGTTATTTGTTTCCGTCAAATGTATTAGGGTCAGGATTATTTTACCAACCCTGTGTCAAATATTTATGTAAGCTTTATTCTCCACACAATAAAGACGTATTTACAGCTCCTGGGCTAGCTAGCTTCTGAGCTAACCCTTGTCAGTGTTTTTACTGAACACCTCTTTTGTTCTGTGTAATATTTTTAAATTCTGAGTCATTGTGCATCCCTACTTTACAGAACTGTTAAAGGGACACCCCAAAAAAAATAGTAATAGACGTTCAACACATTTGTGTAATTTGTGCAAAATAATTGTCAGAGCTGCTGCAACAGAGACTGAGATTCCTTTTTAATTTAAATTCTTTAAATCCTGTTAAATGTCTTCGTGTTTTGAACTCCAAACCCTCAATTTACTGTCTACTGGGCTTTGTCTGCACCCGGTAACAGGGGCGCTGCACCCTCTTACTCTCGCCATGCGCCCTCATTCCAAAATGCTGATTCTTCCCGTAAAATGTTAAAGTGATGCCAGAAAACAATATTTCTGTTCGTCAAAAACTGTATATTTACGTTACATGACATGTCACTTGTTAAACGCTTTTATCCAAAGCGACTTGCATACTCAATACTGTGGGCAATCCCCACAGGAGCAATTTGGGGTGAAGTGTCTTGCCCAGGGACACAACGACATGCTGACTGCAGTGGGATTCGAACTTGCTATCCTCTGATTCGAAGATCAGCGCACTATTCCACTGAGCCACAGCCTCCCTAATTACTCCAGAAATATGAAATGGCATCAAATAGAGCGTCAGACGGCAGAGACAGTTTTGTTTTTATGGAGCTCCGACAGCGCGTTGTTGTTTACGTCCGCTGCACCAATAATCTTCATATTCTTACATATTTACACAAATAAGTTCTAAGTAAGGCGCCGTGCTGGTGGCTGCCTGTTGCATGCAGCTCCCGGTGTTTTATTGTTCTTTGTCTTTTTGTTTACTTTTATTCTCTTAGTTGTACTTTTTTCTTTGGATATTTATTTTGTTTTGCAGCGAACTATGGCCACGTTTTACTTCGAACGTTTTCTGGTCATTCTTCTGCTACTTTTTTCACTTTTTGTGTCGGAGAGCCATGCTCAGAGGAGTGATGGCATTGTTTACACGCGTGAGCAGCTGATTGCGCTGTGCCGACCCGTGCTGCTGCCCGGAGCCAGGCATGACATCCCGGAGGAGCTTCGGAGGCTCAAGCGTGGCTGCAGAGCTGGGGCCAAGCTGAGGATGAAGAAGAAGATGAGGTACAAACCCTGTGTACCGGCCATCATAATGGGGAACGTGAGGTCTTTGGGGAATAAGATGGACGAGCTCCGCGTGCTGACGAAGACGCAGTGGGAATACCGTGAGTGTAGCATCATGTGTTTTACCGAGACTTGGTTGCACTCGCTCATCCCGGATAATAACACGGCTCTCCCCGGCTTCACGAGTGTTCGGGCGGACAGGGACGTTATTCTGAGCGGTAAAAAGAAAGGAGGAGGGATTGCACTGTATGTGAACGAACGATGGTGTAATCCTGGACATGTTACTGTGAAGGAGCGTTTCTGTAGCCCGGACATTGAACTGCTAGCTGTGGGATTACGTCCATTTTATCTACCTAGAGAACTTTATTCTGTCATCGTAGTTGCTGTCTATATTCCACCGAACGCGGACGCGGAGGTGGCTGGTGACGTCATTCACTCTTCTGTGGCCAAACTCCAAACTCTTCACCCAAATGCATTCATAACAATAACTGGGGATTTTAACCGTGCAAAACTGGACAAATCTCTGCCTACATTCACTCAGTATGTGAAATGCCCCACCAGGGGAAATAATACTCTGGATCTTCTATATGCTAATACCAAGAATGCATATTGTGCCACTGCCCTCCCCCCCCTGGGCAGATCTGACCACAACCTCGTCTTTTTGGCTCCTAAATATGTCCCACTGGTGCAGAGGCAGCCTGTATCCACCAGGACTGTGAGGAAATGGACTCCAGGGGCTAATGAGGCTCTACAGGACTGCTTCGAGACCACTGACTGGGACGTGCTTTGTGTGCCACATGGAGAGGACATCAATAATATGACTGACTGCATCACAGAATACATCAACTTCTGTGAACAAACAATATTACCGGCTAAAACTGTCAACTGTTTCCCCAATAATAAACCCTGGATTACTAGTGACCTGAAAACTCTTTTAAATAAGAAAAAGGAAGCTTATAAGTCTGGGGACAAATCAATGCTGAAGAGTGTCCAGCATCAACTGAGAGACAATTTGAGGAGGGGCAGAGATTCGTACAGGAAGAAGCTGGAGACTAAGCTCCAGCTGAACAATAGCAGGGATGTCTGGGCTGGGATGAAGGCTATCACTGGCTTCAAAGGGAGAGACAGACTGACTGTGGGCACCCTGGAGAGGGCCAACGAGCTGAACACCTTCTTCAATAGGTTTAGCTCTCCGCCCGCTGCTGTCTCCTCCACTTCCTCTTCTCACCTCACCTCCTCCTCTCAGCCTGGCGTCAACATCCCCCCTCTGCTCACCACCTACACTTCACACCTCTCCTCCACCACCCAGCCTGGCTTCTGCACCCCCCCTCTGCTCACATTGCCGCTGACCCCCCCCCCCCCCCTCTGCTCATCTTGCCTCAGACCCCCCCCCCCCTCTATCCCCCCTTCCATCAAGCCCCCCCCCCCGCTTCACTGTGAGCACAGGACAGGTCCAGAGTCAGATGGAAAAACTCCACCAAGGCAAGGCTGCTGGCCCTGATGGTATCAGCCCCAGGGTCCTGAGGACCTGTGCACGCCAGCTGGCTCCTGTTCTCCAGTATATATTCAACCTGAGCCTGCACTTGGAGACCATCCCGGTGCTGTGGAAGACATCATGCGTTGTTCCGGTCCCTAAAAAGACAACTCCTTCTGGGCTCAATGACTATCGCCCTGTAGCACTCACATCTCATGTGATGAAGGTGCTTGAGAGACTGGTCTTGGCCCATCTCAGACCGCAGGTGAGATCATTCCTTGACCCTCTGCAATTTGCCTACCAGCCTCACCTGGGGGTGGACGATGCCATTATTTACCTGCTGCAGCGTGCTCACTCATACCTGAATGGATCGGGTTGCACTGTGAGAATCACCTTTTTTGATTTCTCCAGTGCATTCAACACGATCCAGCCTCGGCTACTGAGTGACAAGCTGCAGGCTATGAGGGTAAACTCGTCCACCATCTCCTGGATTACCAACTACCTCACGGACAGACCACAGTACGTCCGGCTGGGCAGTGTGCTGTCTGATGTGGTGGTTGGTAGTATTGGAGCCCCACAGGGGACTGTGCTGTCTCCTTTCCTGTTCACCTTATACACCTCTGACTTTCTATACAACTCAGAGTCATGCCACCTGCAGAAGTTTTCGGATGACTCTGCAGTGGTAGGGTGTATAAGGGATGGACGGGAGGAGGAGTACAGAGCGCTGGTGGGTGATTTTGTTGAGTGGACTGGAAGAAATCATCTGCTTTTGAATGTGGCCAAGACCAGAGAGATGGTCATTGATTTCAGGAGGAAGAGGACATCTCCTCCTCTGCCCCTGTGCATTCTGGGAGAGGATGTGGCAGTTGTGGAGGTCTACAAGTACCTGGGAGTGCACTTAGACAATGGGCTGAACTGGAGGATCAACACTGACGCTGTGTACAAGAAGGGGATGAGCACACTCTATTTTCTGAGGAAGCTGAGATCCTTCAACGTATGCAGTAAGATGCTGGAGATCTTCTATCAGTCTGTTGTGGCTAGTGCACTCTTCTTTGCTGCGGTCTGCTGGGGGGGCAGCATCAGAGCCGGTGACACCTGCAGGATCAATAAACTGATCAGGAAAGCTGGGTCAGTCATCGGCATCAAGCTGGAACCCTTTGAAGCTGTGGTGGAGAGGAGGACACTGAACAGGCTGTTGTCCATCATGGATAACCCCACCCATCCTCTCCACCTGCAGCTGGACAGTCAACGGAGCTCCTTCTCCAACAGACTGCTGCAGCTCCCCTGTCACAAGGACAGATACTGGAACACATTCCTGCCCACTGCAATAACACTGTACAACAAATCACCTCTGGCTGGAAGAGAACTCTCTGCTCCATAGTTTCTCTAGAAATAAAACCACCTTGTACATTTTACTCACACATAATCTGTTTCATATTTAATACTCCATAATTCCATATATTTTGAATATATATATATTTGTATATTTGTATATATATATATATATATATATATATAATATCTGTATGTATATTTTCTATTTTGTATTTTGACATGTATATTTTATATTTTATTTTATATTTTATTTTATTTTATTTTATTTCTATTCTTGTATATTTTGTTTTATTGTAAAATGCCTTTTATGCTGCTGTAACAAAAACAATTTCCCAATTTGGGATCAATAAAGTACGATCTATCTATCTATCTATCTATAATCTCCCTTTTTCTTCTTCCAGGTGTCCATTAACAGCCAAGGTAAGCAAAAAAACTATACAATCTATGAGATAGAAACATGTGTTGCATAAAGAATTTGTGTTCATAATTGTTTCTGTATTTATTGCAGCTGACTATGAGGAGGCGTTGAAGGTAAGAAGCTTTGACGTCCAATTGCTACTCACATTATGTACTTATGGGGACATAAACAGTGCTGTACTTTACATCTGAGCGGATTCATGTATTAAATATGACCCTTCATTATCTGCCACTTGGTTTGGTTATTTTCCAATCCAAATAAAGAAATTCTCCACTTGACAAATAGCCTACATCCATGCATTACATGAGCTCAAAGTAGCTTTGTAAACTAATGGTCAGTACAGTGGATGGAAAAAGGGAATCTTCAATTCTCAGGTTTTGAAGTGTTGGTTTAATCAGGCTTCAAAGAGAGATTCAGTTTCAGAACACTACAGAGGGGGCAGTCATGACATATATTTGTAAGGATACCCTAAGGTTAGCACAGCAAGTCATTTTTATTGCTGAAAATAATCTCTGTGGCAAACACACGTTTATGAAACGTACATGTCTTGTTTAGCAGGATAATCTCCAAATATTACCACCACTTTATGATTTTTGAAGCGGAGATGCAATCACCAGAAGTACAAAGTTATCGTTAGGCTATAACTACATCCTACCGCTAAGCTAAAGGTGGCTGATGTTCCCTCATGATGGCATTAGGTAATCTAGTTCAGACACTTGTTAAACCGCCATTTTTAAGACACATAGAAGCTTCAGACATTCAGTAGTGGGGTATTTACCTAAGTCATTTATGTCGTAAAACAAAACGTGAAACTCTCTTCAGCTTGTGTTAACAACAGACCTTTTTTCAACAAGTTGGGAACAATGCCATTGCAATTGCTAACATGCTAACTAATTTCCGGGTTTAATGACTAATTCCTGCACCACGTCTGCCAAGCAACCCCTGTCATATCATGTTGACATTGGTCAGCTAAAATCTTTAATTCTGACTTATTTTAATTGCTCCTTAGTTTTCTATCTCCAAAGGTGCTAATGCTTCAGGAGATTGCTTTACCAAAGGGTTTTTCTTGTTTTCAGAACAAAGAGAGATGTATCCAATATGTCCTGTATGTTAGCAGGAGAGACTAATCGGTGTGTATATTTCCCAGAGTGCAGCGAGGCAGGGCAACCGGCTCCATATGAACGTGTACGAGACCCGGGGCCAGCCGGCGAGGGTCCCCACCACCAAGGCCAGCAGCACGGAGCCAAAGAGGGGCTTCAGACCCCCCCAGCACTGCCCCGCTCTGACCCAGGTGGTCAGCCGCAAAGTGCAGGCTGCGGTGCCGGAGCAGGGCATGGTGAGACCCCCCCCCCCCACAGCCGCTCACACTGGACACTGGGCGTTTCATAGCAGTCATAACCCCTCAGCTGCCACTCACTGGATTTAAAAAATATATTATATTATATTATATTTGCCGGGGGGGCTGTACTCAAGGGTTTTGGCTGTAGCAAGGGGTTGAGTCATTTCTACCCTTAGATTACTTATAATGCAAACTACATTTTCTTATACACAAAATAACTCAATAAATCACAAACTATAATAAAAAAGGTATTCAGTTCTCGATACCCCAACGTTTCCAAGGATTCAAAAATGTATAATTCAAAGTCACATGGTCTGCCAGCAGTGCAGCATCCAATAAACTGAGGACATTAAGAATAAGGGAGGGAAAATAGTGCAAGTTTTACAATGGTGCAAGTGAAATGCAGGCATAAAAATGCAATGTAAAATAGATTAAGATAAAACAATGTAAAATTAAATACTGTATACTGAAATAAAATGTAAATATGTGGATTTGTGGAATAAACAAATAACGGGGGATTAGAAAGGACAAGTTGTCTTTTAAATTCAACAGTAATCTGTGTACATGGAAGCTCTTTGAAGGACTATTGATTAATATTTCTTGAAGTTGACCTCAGCTCAGTCTCACAGCATTGATCTGTGCGTGTCTAGAAGTGCAGAACGTACCAAGACAGAGAAAAGCCGGTCACACTGATGCAGGAAACAGCAAAGAGACAGACATCGGTTGTTGTTTGTTGGATTGTTTGCTCTTGCTCATTGCTGTAACATCACGACAGTTCCACTCTCTAAAATACATAACCAGAGTTCTACCATTGCGCTCAGAGACAACACCACGTTTATACTTTACTTCACTATAAAATCACTAGAATTCTAACATAACTCTTAAGCGTCATTCACATGAAATGTGATTTTGTCTTTGGTCACCGCAATGTTTTCAGCCGGAGCCTTTCAGTGTTAACAGTCAGTTGAGTTTAGTTTCTATGGTTACGTCCTCTGCTAGCTTGCGCCGCTACATACAGCTGTCATCTGATTGGTTGCGCGTCGAAAGGTCAGCGATAACTTGGTCCAAATTAAAACAATTTGAACTGTGAGCGGTGCGTGACGCCGAATGTAGCTTTTACCACGTATAATGTGAATGCAGCTTTAATGAACTCACTATATCTCCACTATAACGCTACATGAAAACACTACTATAGCTAACAGTGGCATGTCTTAATGTCTTCCGCAGCTCTCAGGACAAACCCAGTTCCTGCTGTTGGTTTGTTTGCTCTCTCTCATCGCTGTAACCAGTGGCGTTTTTATATGTACAAAACTGGTGGGGCACGAATAACATAGATGTTTATATATAAGCTTCTGGTGCTTTTTTAAACACGTAAACAAATCGCTGTAGGCTATCCATGGTTCCGATAGAGAGAGGGGGGGGGGAGTGTCAAATGACATACTGTCGGAAGCCGTGAATGAAGAACATAGAGCAACACTGTGCGCATACATTTACATACACAGCGTGGGGATGTCATATTGTAATGCACCTTAATACATGCAGTAAAGGGCACCATCACAAAGCAATTCTTAACAATAACAACAACCGTAATGCTTCAGCATTAAAACACCATAGACTGTAAATATAAGGAAAACACAGACACTCATCCCTAGGGTTGGGAACCGAAACTCGGTTCCAGATGAGAACCGATAAGAATTTCGGTTCTGCTTAACGGTTCCTAAACGCTGTAGACCCTGTATTCCACCGGGTCCGTCTGCACCGCGGGTCCGTCTGCGCCGCGGTGACCCGGTGGAATACAGGGTAAGGGCGGACTGGCCATCTGTGTGTTCTGGAGAATTGCAGAACGGCCGATCGTCAGCGGGCCGTTGACGGCCGGCTCGGTACGCTGACGGCCGGCACCGCCCTTCATTTTTTTAAACGGCATCATGTAAGTTGCGCTGACAGGCGACAGAGGTCTACAGTTGCCCCGCAGCGAGGCTCCCCCCGCCCTCCCGTAGACAGTTCACGAGCTCAGTCACTTCATAACACCAAAGATGGATCGCGGTAAACGCTCTAAAGTGAGGCTCCACTACACTAATAAAGAAAAAGACAAGGCACAGTGTAATGCCTGTTAATAGCTTGCCACAGGCATAGCTCAGTTAAAATAAAGCACAGCTATTGTGCAATACATTTGTATAGCATGTATATTTTTTATTTGTAAAAATGTCAGTTAAAGCTTAAAAGAATAAAGATATTTTTGTTATCTAAACGTTTGACCTCTTTCTTTTACAATTTTGGAATCGAAACGGGGAATCGATAAGAACCGGAATCGATAAGCAGAACCGGAATCGGAATCGATACATTTCAAACGATACCCATCCCTACTCATCACCAAGGTCACAATATCAATCGATCCAGCAGAGCAATAGCCTATAGGCAAAACACAGAAGATCAACTAAAGATATGACATAAATGAACTTACCAAAGCTGAAGTAGATGGTCAACTTCATTCATTTTCTTTCCGTTTTACTGATTTTAATCACTATACGCTGCTCTCTCTCGTCACCTCTTCACAACTACACTTTTCGCGGCACACGTACTTACAGCCAATCAGCTCTCTGAATTATGAGATGACGTTTTGGTGGGGTTGCCAGCACTTTGCCCCACTTGTGATTTTTTTTTTGCCGCACACATTGAATACAAAAAGACTGAGCATGCGCAGCGTAGTTTTCACAGTACCCATGAGGGCACGAGATAAGTTTGTGCACAGATGGAAGGCTGACAGGCAGGTAGGCCATCCAGTTATTTTAGCCGGGCCGGCTAAAATGATTGGTCGTGCTTTTTACAGTACTGCGGCTTCCACAGATTTTTTTATGGATTTTTTGTCAAAGCACTTAAGATATTCATTGCTATCGGGATGTTAAGAGCATTCCATGGAATATAACAAAAAGTCTATCTCGAGCCGGTTTCTCAAACTTACCTACCCTACCTTTAAGTGCTTTGACAAAAAATCTATAAAAGAATGTCATCTGTGGAAGCCGTAGTACTGTAAAATAACTGGATGGCCTACCTGCCTGTCAGCCTTCCATCTCTGCACAAACTTATCTCGTGCCCTCATTGGTCATGTGCGCGTTCGTGTGTGTTGGAGGCGGGGCTATGTAAGGAAGTGGCAGATTTTCTCCGGCTGTGTATTTTCAAATTCTAGCGCACTCGAGCTGGTTTCTCCAAAATTAACTACCCCACCTTTAATGTATTATGTCAACAGAACTGTATTAGGTTAGTTGAAAGCAATACGTTTAAATAAGGGTTAAGTATTAAAAAATACTTAACTTAATACAGTTATGTGAAATTTGTTAACACAATATATTTAATGAAAGTCAATGTTTCAGTTTTTTCACTGTAGTTAAATATAGAGCTTTTTTTTTTTATATATTTGAAAAAAACGTTTTCCTTAAATGGCAGTTTGTGGCCAGTCCTTAATGTTAATAATTTCTGACTTCAGAATATTACAGAAAAATAAAATCTGTGGAAACAAATGTCTCCTCATATCAACACCACTTTAGGATATTTGAAGCGTAAATGCAATCTACTGAAAAAGAGCTGGCTGCAGGTTAATGTCAATGATGTACCAAAGATGTTGATGTGAGTCATCCACTAGATCTCATATTCTCCTTCTGATCAGATGATCCTGAAAGAAGTGAAGGGAACCAAAGAAGAAGACAAGACCCCCCCAGCCTGGTTCACCTTGTACATGGAGAAGGTAGGAACAAGCTGATGGAGCACATGTCAGCTGTTAGATTAACAGAGGCAAAATAAGTGAGCGCTCTCCTCCATTCTCTCAGTTTAAGGACCAGGTGGTGCGCGAGGCAGTGGAGAAGATCTGCCGTGAGTTCTCGGGACAGTGCTGCATTCACAAGCCCCTGGGAGGGGGGGCAGGAGGTGGGGGAGGTAGAGGGGAGGCTGCAGGGGGAGTGGAGGCCCAGCAGGTCCCTGAGGTCTCCTCCTCCACCCTGCCCGGAGCTCCATCCTCCTCCACCCCTCCCTGCTCCTCCTGCCGGGGGCAGACCACCGGAGGGGGCTACCAGTGCAGGTACGAGCTGTCAGCAGGCCAGGGTCAGTATGTGTTACAGCTCTATGGTCTGTTTGCCAGCTTAGTGACCCCGGAAATGTAGAGTACCCCAACGTTTTATGTTAGAAATGTATAGTAGGGTCCCCAGCACTTAGAAACTGCTGGATGCTAACCTGCATATGTTGGGCCATTTGCACAATTGTGTTAATTAGCATTGATAAGCATATGCAGACAATAGCTTTAAAATGGCTTGGTCAATTTGGACACTTTTGGTGTGGTTTGGATGATTTTTGAGGATGTTTAATCAATTTCTGACATTTCCAGTATCAGAAATAGCAGTATTTAGTCCTCTAAAACGTTCAAATCAACCCAAAATTCATCAAACACGGCGTGTTGAGTTGATGCCAAAGATCAACATTTTGGTCTCATCTGACCACATCACCTTCTCCCAAGCCTTCTCTGAAGCATTCAGATGTTCATTGTCAAACCTCAGACGGGCCTTTCATGTTCTTCTTGAGCAGGGGGCCTTCAGGCGCTGCAGGATTTGATCCATTATGGTGTAGTGTGTTCCCAATAGTTTTCTTGGTGACTGTGGTCCCAGCTGCCTTGAGATCATTAATACGTTTCTCCTGTGTAGTTCTTGGCTGATCCCTCACCTTTCTCATGATCATCAATACCCCACGGGGCCAGATCTTGTGTGGAGCCCCAGACCGAGGGCGACTGATACTCATTTTGTCTTTCTTCCATTATCAAATAATGGCACCAATAGTTGTCTCCTCCTCACCAAGCTGCTTTCTGATGGTCTTGTAGCCAGTCCCAGCCTTGTGCAGGTCTATAATCATGTCCCTGAGGTCCTTAGACAGCTCTTTAGTCTTGCCCATGGTGGAGAGGTTGGAATCTGATTGATTGATTCTGTGGACAGGTGTGTTTTATACAGTTAACTAGTTGATATTAGGAGTACTTTCTTAAAGGAAGAGGACTTATGTAACCGGTCTGTGGAAGCCAGAATTCTTGTTGGTTGCAAGGGGATCAAATACTTATTTCCAACAGTTAAATACAAATCAATGTTTATCTTTTATATAATGTCAATTTCTGGATTTTCTTTCTGATATTCTGTCTCTCATTAGTAAAATAAACCTACCATTACAATTATAGACTGTTAATTTATTTGTAAGGGATCAAATACTTATTTCCTCCACTGTATATAAAATGCATATGTTTGTGTTTTTTGGAGTAATTCTAAAATATTTTAATACTATTTATATTTTTTAATTTTCATATGTATGATAATAATAAGATATTACTATTATTATTATTATTAGAATTAATATTATTACTTTATCAATTGATGTTTTCATATTTTTAAACATATCTCCTCTGTTTGTTTGATTCTGGGCTATATTATAACCACACGTTTATATTTTCCTAGTTTTAAAGTTATTCGCATTGTCCAACAAAATATCTACCTATCTTCTCATCTCAAGCTCAGAATAAAAGCAATTGTCTGAAATTATGAACTGTTCCTTTAACCTCTTGCTTTTGTCTTTTCTTCATTATATTGCATAATGAACAAAGGAGATATTTAATTTATTGGTATTTTTTAAATGTTGGTACTGCAGATAATAATGACCAATATATGACTTCTAGTTTTAGTTTAGATGCTGTCCCAGGGTTCAAAGTCTTGGTGAGGTTTATTCTAAGAAGGTAGAGATAATAATGCCTCATATAGACATAAAGAGGCGTGGTAACACAGTGTAGACACGACACATGTGTTTCCTTTCCTTGATATCTGAAACTTAGAAAGGGAATCAGTTTCTGTTTGCCTGAACACTTTCTCTTTCTCCTGTTGAAATACACAACAGACGTCAGCTTGTTACAGTAGTCCCAGAACCCCCCTTCTCTCCTTCCCTTTCCTTTCTCTCCACCCTCCTTTATCTTGTCCTCTGTGCTCAGTGTGTGTACCTCGTGCACTCTGTGCGAGCCCTGCAGCTTCGCTCATGACCCCAGTCACAACCTGGTGAGAGCCCGGACCCCTCTGTCCATCCCAGAGCACGGATCCCCCGCTCCGGACCACAGCAGGTAGGACACCCACTCTAGTTGGATTCTCAGATTTTTATATCTCTTAAAAAAATCCAGCTGGATGTTTACCAGACCCTGGATTCTCCACCTTCTGACACAATGGTATTTAATTTTCTGTTTTGATTTAGTCTTGTTCTATTTCAAATGTTTTATTTTTATTTTACTTTGCACTATTCGCTTTTAATGGTTTGTATTTCTTCTACACTATTTCTATTTATTTTTACGTTTCATTTTAAAAACTGCACTGTAGCTATTGTGCTTGTGATTATAACATCTCTGAAATGTGGATCTTGAATCCACTTCCTCTACTAAGGTAACAGTCGCAATACTATAACTGAAAAGTTATTCTTTCTGCTCCATAAAATATCACTCAGAGGGCTATTTATTTGTGCTTTTTGGGTTTCCCCTTTCCTGTATTGTGTTATATAGGTTTTAGGCCAAGGTGCGTGTTTATGATAGGCTAAGGGGCGGGACATCTCTGAGCGGTTGACCAATCACAACAGAGCCAGCCAGCTAACCTGGAAAATGCTTTTAAAGCCAAAAACCCCCAAAAAGTGTGGGACACCATGAAAACCATGACAGGGATGACCTCTTCAGCTAAACCTATTGTGACGGACAATTAATTTTGTTTTGCTAACGAACTAAACACGTTCTTTACCCGTTTCGAGTCACTGGATAATTCTGCAAAGTGCACTGAAATGCTCGAAACCATAATACCTGCTTCCTCTGACAAAATTACCATCAGTGTCGAAGAGGTCAGAAAAACATTTCAGTACACCAACACCAAGAAAGCGGCTGGGGCCAGATGGGTGCAGTGGTTTTCTGCTGAAAAACGTTGCTACTGAGCTGGCTCCAGTGTGGCAACCCATCTTTCAGGCTTCCATTGACACACACACCATCCCTCTGTCATGGAAAACTTCACACATCAAACCACTGCCCAAAATTCCATGCCCAAAAGAACATAAGGACTACAGACCAATAGCCCTCACCTCAGTGATTATGAAACCACTAGAAAGAATTCTGCTCCGATTTCTTATCAGTACAACACAAGACAAACTTGATCCATACCAATTTGCCTATAAACAAGGGTGCGGTACGGAAGACGCTGTGGCTACTTTGGTTCACATCATCACTAAACATTTAGATAAACGTAACACCTATGCAAGAGCCCTCTTCCTAGACTTCTCATCAGCATTCAACACAATACAAGCAGACATCTCGGTGTCAAAAATGGCCAAAATGGAAGTAAATCCATACCTGATTTGCTGGTATGCTGCTTTCCTCACTAGTAGAGAGCAACTTGTGAAGGTTAACAAAACCCTGTCATCTGCCATCACAACCAATGTAGGTGCCCCCCAGGGCTGCGTGAGTTCAGCTGTGCTCTTTACTCTCTACACTGATGATTGTCGTACCAACACACCAAATCAAGTCATCATTAAGTACTCCGATGATACTGCAATAATATCTCTACTCAGTAACACAGACGACCCTGAGCTGCACCAACAGGCTGTAAATCAGGTGGTCGAGTGGACTGATAGCAATGCTCTTGAGATCAACACCAAGAAAACTGAGGAAATCATTTTTGGCTCACCATCTGACTCCCATAAAGTCCCCATTGTCATCCATACAGATGAAATCAATCATAACAACCTAGTGAGGCTGTCTAACCACATCATCTCTGACCCAAACCATGTTCTGAACAGTGAATATGAACTGCTACCATCTAATGGGAGATACAGGATCCCACGATTCAATAAGGTCAGACTGAAGCACTCCTTTGTGCATCAGTCAATCCTCTCAGTAAATACAGAGCTGAATGCAGATCAAATGCACGCTGAAGGCTCTTTGAGCAGCTTTTCTCTCACTGATTGTGCTGTTATGTTAAATGTTTGTTGTTTGTGTTTCATGTATTTGTGTCTGGATATTTGTCTATGTTGGTGTTGGACATGGAGCTGCTGTGACGCAAGTCACATTTCAGACTTGGTCTGACTAATAAAGTAATATCGTATCGTATCGTAACCAATCAGAGCAGACTGGGCTCTGGTTTCAGACTGAGGGTGAAAAGAGGTGCTGCAGGCAGTATGAGAAAAAGAAAGAGCTTTCTGAACATTAAAGCATGGAGACAAGTCACAGTAGAGACACTACATACTGATATGAACCTGACAATAAGTAGAATATGTCCTCTTTAAGTAAAAGTATGCAAGTATTATAAGCAGAGTTCACTTAGAGTTTTAAAAGAACTTGCAAAGAAGTGTATTTGTTAGAGCCATTTTCCTTGAGTTATTATTGTCTGATAGTTAGGCTTGATAATAATATAAATTAGATTAAACTCACCATCTAAAGGTATTTTTGCGAGTCATATTATGGTTTAAAATGTATTAATTTAAGGCTCACTTATTATTTGTTATGTGTGTCAGTATCACGTGCATGGCTATATGCCTATATATGGTAGGTTGATAGGACACAGCTGATGGTGATGAGACGGGAGGAAGGAGGAAACGGAAAAGTCTTTTGACCGTGTTCTTTTGTTCTTGTGGAGACTATTAACTTGATTTAGGATGAAGCGAAGAAATGTGTCCTGCTGGTTATATGCCGTCTGGACTAACGAATAAAGCTCATCTGATTCAACCATGTTCTCAGCTCATTTGTTTGGAAACAAAGAGAGGCGCGTCAAAACCCACAACCCGATAGAGGTGGCTATTAAATTCGTAGACAAGGATTAAAACGCCACCACATTAGTCAAAAGACTCCGTAAACTGTGGATAAAAACTTCGAAGGACAAGCACAGGATTCGTGTGGATTTCAGCTCTGCTTTGGAAACAGCGATCGGACGTTCTAAAGTGCCGTGAGGAGGAGGCCGTGAGTAAACCATGCCGGCCCGGAATCTATGAATGAAACGCTGTTTACAATGGGATCGCTTCATCAAACAATGCAAGGACTGATGTGTGCATAGTTACGGAAGTTTGACAAAACGAAACGGGAAATCCATCCAGTGATATCATGATGCTTACTGGGGATGATATGAAGATAATCCGCAATTGCTGTTGGAATGCTTAAACAGTTAACGCATGTTAAGGAAGCGGACGTTAAAGGAATGTTTGGCACAAAAACAGGATTCACGAAGAACTTGTTCTTGGAAATATTAACGACTTTATTTCATGTGGAGCCAATTGAAGAAAAAACAAACAAAATAAACAATGGATCCTGATATTCCTCCAGCTGATGTTGCCAGCGGCAGAGGAGAGATTTAAAAACTCTCAGCCAATCGCGAACAGTGGCGTTTTTATATGTACAAAAGTGGTGGGGCACAAAAACGTAGATGTCTATATATAAGCTTCTGCAGTGAGACGTGCAGTGAGGGTTCATGCTGGTGAGGGCACTGGCACTGACTCTTCAGGTTTACAAATATTATATTTTGACCTAAACCAAAATATAATATTATTTTCAAAAGCTTTTTTTGTCTGATGCTTCGATTAATTTTAAACAGACAGTTCAACAAAAGGATACCCCAAAAAATGTTAATTTTATCATTTAAATATTGAATTGTTCTCTCTTAGTAAGATCCCATTTTCAATCAAATTGGCGGTCTTACCTTGACTTGAAGATGAAGTCCATTTGCCTATCCTTCTGGACAAAAATGTCTATAACTTTTTGTAAAGTCCTCCTTATGTTCTTGTAGTTTCAAAAGTCTATCATAAATCTAATCCATAGATTTAATGATAAAAAAAAATTATAAAAGTAGGGGTAGACATGTGGATGTTTATCCGGCTGCATCAAAACGTGCATTTATCTAACAGGTACGTTTCCCACAGATCTTATTTCCAGCTATTTTCTAAAATCCTCTGGAGAAATCTCATTGCTTTTTTGTCGAGGGAAGCCATGCGCAGCTTACTTCCTGGTTTTAGGACGCGTCACTGCAGCTCTCTCGTCTCCTCTTCACACACCACACTTTTCGCGGCACACGTACTTACAAGCACATCAGCTCTGAATGATTTGAGATGACGTATGGTGGGGATGGTAGCTCCATGCCCCTCTGGTCATTATTTTTTGCCACACACATTTCATTACAAAATACTCTGAGCATGCGCAGTGTAGTTTTTACAGTCACCGTTGACTTCACAGCGAGAGGGAGGGGCATAATCAGGTTTTGTCCACATGGCTCTAAACAGCTCAATAGGCACACACTGTGACTGTAGACACACTAATTAGAAGAACACAGACTAAAACAGCAATGTACAGACGAATCAGATGATTAAACATGATCTTAAAATATATTTTATATATTTTTTTATTTATTTTTTTGCATTTTTGTAATCATTATTTGTAATACTTTCTGCTGACACTAGGTGGGGCTGTGCCCCACCTGCCCCTAATGACCAGTCGCCACTGATCGCGAAGAGGAAAACTTGGAGCATGCACCCGCAGAATGAATGAAATTAAACCATTACTGGTGCAAGGTGGAAATATGGAAAAGGTGGATGAAGCTGTTGCAACATTCAAGATGTTACTCAATGAATTTATTGAGTGTCATGGACATGTTCAAATGCTTTTATCTGAGGAAATAAGGGAAACTGAGAGAATGGATTGGTATGAACCAAAAATGTCTGCATTCACGAATTTCCTTAAGGATGTGGAAATGTGGAAAAGCTCTCAAATGGATCCTCAGATACTGATCGAACCCCATGACAGTGTTTCCAATGCATCACACAGGAGGAGATCAAAAGCAGGATCAACAACTTCTTCTGCTTCCTCAACCCACCTCAAAATAGCCACAGAAAGAGCTGCCCTCCTTGCCCGGGCAGCAGGATTAAAGGAAAAGCATGCACTTGAAATGGAAAAGGCTCAACTGCAAGCTAGATTCGAACGGATGGAAATGGAAGCCAGCCTAGCTGAATCTGATGCAAAAATGAAAGTTCTGGAGCATTTTGAGACTGGTTCACAAAATCCAACACAAGACGGCATGAATGACTATGTAAAAGACTACAGAGTAAAACCACATATGTCAATGGATGCAGAGCCGTCTCCAATTACCTTTGCTGAGTTTGGAGCCATTCCCAAAACACCACTTCAAAGGCTTCTATACCAACAACCAAGACCACCAGAAAATATTGATAATACAAACCAAAGCCCTCAACACACAGCTAGAGATGCAGGAATTACAGGGACAAATAATAATGACAATTTCCTGACTGTGATGCAGAGACAAAATGACATTGTTAATTTACTTGTACTTCAACAAAAGCAAACATCACTGCCCACTAGGGAAATCCCAGTCTTTGATGGCAATCCCCTGAATTATCAAATATTTGTGATGGGCATTTTTCAACATGGCATTGAGGAGAGAACCACCAGTAACCAGGATCGATTATATTACCTGGAACAATATACTTCGGGATCCTGCAGGGAACTGGTGAGAAGCTGCCTTCATATGGATGCTAATAGTGGCTTTGCTGAAGCTAAGAGACTGCTAAAAGTGCATTTTGGAGATGACCTCAAGATAGCAAATGCATATATGGGGAAAGCTCTCAACTGGAACACTATAAAGGCAGAGGATGGAAAGTCACTGCACTGTTATGCACTTTTTCTGAGAGGCTGCTGTAATGCAATGAGGGATCTGCAGGACATGGAGGAGCTGGACCTGCCATCCAACCTACGGCTCATTCTTTCAAAGCTACCTTACAAACTAAGGGAGAAGTGGAGAACAGCAGCTTGTGACATTCTGGATCGGAGCCATCAAAGAGCAAAATTGCATGACCTTGTTGTATTTATTGAAAGACAAGCTAGAATACTTCAAGACCCTCTCTTTGGTGACATTCACGATCATCAACTTAACAGTACAAAGACTTTCATTACAACTCCTGCTGATTTAAGCCGAAATAAGTGCAAGGGAAGCAGTTTTGCAACCACAGTGGCTATAGTGTCAGACAGCCATGCAGAGAAACCCAAAGAAGACAATTATCTTGTTAAAAGCTACATTTCCTCCACTAACAATGACACCTCATGTACCTTTTGTACCAGCATGCATCCTTTAGCTGAATGCCATACAATACATTCAATATCTCATGAAGCTAAAATTGAGTTTCTGAAAGAGAAAGGACTATGCTTTGGCTGCCTGAAGGTGGGGCACTTGAGCAGGAACTGTAACAGGAGAATGACCTGTCAAATCTGTCATGCTAGACACCCAAACTATTCTGCACATTAAAGATCTTCTAAGCCTGAAACTGAGAACTTTAAACATGATAAGACAGAGCAGAAGAGTGGAGGAGCAAGGCCTGAAGAGACATCCATCAGCAGTGCTCTTGTTTTAGTAGGAGAAGGTGAAGGAATTGGGGCTGGTAAAGACAGCATACTTGCCATAGTGCCAGTGAAGGTGAAACTCTGCCATGGAAATAAAAGTATACTGACCTATGCATTCCTGGACCCTGGTAGTACCGACACATTTTGCACAGAGGGGCTCATGAGGCAGCTTGGTGCTAGAGGACGGAGAACTGAAGTCCTTCTTCAAACGATGGGAACAGAGAAAACAGTCAGGAGTTTTGAGGTAACGGGTCTAGAAGTGGGCAATGTGGAAGATGGCACATATATAAAGTTGCCCAAGGTTTACACTCAGAACAAAATCCCTGTTACCAAAATAAACATTCTTACCCAGGCGGACCTCAAGAAATGGCCTTATCTGCAGGAAATCCAAATAAGAGAATTAGATGCTGACGTGGGACTTCTTATTGGAGTAAATACTCCAAAGGCTATGGAACCATGGACAGTTATAAATACCCAAGGAAACGGCCCATATGCAGTGAAAACACTGTTAGGATGGGTCGTTAATGGTCCACCTAATGCTTCCACAGATCCGGATGATGAAACCCCTGTGGCAGTAGTGAACAGGACCTCAATTGTTCACCTTGAGAAGCTTAATGAAAGACAATATATTAATGACTTTCCAGAAAACGAGTATGAAGAGGAAAGACAAATGTCAGCTGATGACCGAAAGCTCCTGCAGAGGAGAGAAAAGAGGAAAGATTGCTCCACTGATCTTGGAGTAAAGCAGGATAAAGGAAAGCGACTGAAGGATCAGATGCTTCTGCTCAAAAAGCCTACAGCTAATGCACTAAGACTTTCAGTAGAGGACACGGAAAATGCTGAAAAGGCCATTATTTGCCACGAGCAGAGACAGCATTTCAAAGAGGATTTTGCCTTGCTGGAAAAAGCCAAACAGTGCAATAGAGGAAGCTCCCTATACAAGCTGGACTCTATCATTGATGCTGGGATTCTGAGAGTTGGAGGAAGAACTACAAAGATGGCTATGCCAACTGACTTCAAACATCCAATGATTCTACTTAAACATTCTCGTATTTCCAAGTTGATACTAAGCCACATACATCATCAAGTTGGTCACTCAGGTCACATGCTCTCCAAACTCCTTCAACGTTACTGGCTATCAGCTGCAAACTCTTCAGCCAGGAGGCAGGTGCAATACCTTGCTGACCTGTTTTGGAAGCGCTGGACCAGGAATACCTTCCTTTGATGCAAGAACGGCCCAACTGGAATACAATCAAAAGAAACTTCACCCCCGGAGACCTGGTCGTCATCGTTGATGAGAACGCACCGAGGAACACTTGGCTCCTGGGACGTGTAGTTAAGACCCTTCCTGGATCAACATGACTTGTTAGGAGTGTCCTGGTTAAAACCAAGACAAGTACCATTGAAAGACCCATAACTAAATTATGTCTGCTCCTGGAGACAACAGACTGAGCCTACTAAGCCTTAGCCTTTCAGTCACGTGCACCTCTGACTTTTAGACCAAAGGACTAGACTCTTGGTCTCCTACCTCCCCATCAAAGGCTGCCTTTTGAACAGCAGAACATTACAGACAATTAGTACTAGACCTACACATTCAGTACTGGTGTTACTGTGGACTTGAAAGTATGCAATATACTATGGACTTGAAAGTATGCAATATACTATGCTACGTATGGATGTTATATGTTTTGTTAAAATGACTCTTGATATATTATAATTGGTAATTGCTATGTAATAAGCAATTAGGGGCTGGTATGTTAGAGCCATTTTCCTTGAGTTATTATTGTCTGATAGTTAGGCTTGATAATAATATAAATTAAATTAAACTCACCATCTAAAGGTATTTTTCCGAGTCATACTATGGTTTAAAATGTATTAATTTAAGGCTCACTTATTATTTGTTATGTGCGTCAGTATCACGTGCATGGCTATATGCCTATATATGGTAGGTTGATAGGACACAGCTGATGGTGATGAGACGGGGAAACGGAAAAGTCTTTTGACCGTGTTCTTTTTGTTCTTGTGGAGACTATTAACTTTGATTTAGGATGAAGCGAAGAAATGTGTCCTGCTGGTTATATGCCGTCTGGACTAACGAATAAAGCTCATCTGATTCAACCATGTTCTCAGCTCATTTGTTTGGAAACAAAGAGAGGCGCGTCAAAACCCACAACCCGATAGAGGTGGCTATTAAATTCGTAGACAAGGATTAAAACACCACCACAGTATTCATATTATTTGATATTTATTACTCAGGCATTAGCAGAGGAAACAGTGTGTGGTTTCAGTTGGCAGAGGATCAGGTATTGGAACTGTTTATATAACACTAGGACTTTCATCTGCATAATATTCTATAACAGTTTTTATATAAAACTGAAACTGTCAAATTACTAGTAGCTGAAATTGTCCCAGGCCTTTGTAGGAGCGGTTAAAATCCAACTCTGCTCCAAAAACAGTCCTCTCATCTGGTCCGTCCCTCGGGTCAGAGATAAAGCAGCTCTGACGTGTTGACAGGCTAACAGCAGGATCCAGTCGCTTTCGTTTTGGGATTTGTGTGTTTTTTGGCTTTGTATCGTTTTGGTATTTCCATCTTATTTGCTGCTGATGTATTTGGTTTGGCTTTTTTTGTTTTGGATTTTTCAAATCTGCAGCACGTTTCTCCTAATGTCAACATTTGGGGGTATTGAAGCAACGTTGTCTGTAGTCACAGTGGCTGCAGTTGAATAGTCATAAAATCAGGTCCTATGCCTTTCCTAACCCCTTTTCCTAACCTCAGTAAAAAATGTCATCGGGTTAAGGGAAAATGTGAAGTAGAGTTCATCAGGACTTAGGAATATGATTCAAACATTTCACTTCAAAGAAGCCTTTCGAAACAAACAAGACTATATGAGGGAGGCTGTGGCGCAGTGGACTAGTACGTTGGTGTTCGGATCAGGGGAGCACAGGTTCAAACCCCACTGCAGTCAACATGTCGTTGTGTCCCTGAGACACTTCACCCCAAATTGCTCCTGTGGGGATTATCCACAGTATTGAGTATGTAAGTCGCTTTGGATAAAAGCGTCTAATAGTAACATGTAATGTAATGTAAGATGACTGCAACCCTCATTTTGTTCGTTGATTCATTCACGAAAAAAAATGTTAACGAAGCAAATGAAAAGCCTGCTAATGGCACTAATCCCAGCCAAGATATATGGGGGACAATTGGGTGCAATGATGGCACATTTGATGATTTAGTCATTTTCATAGTGGCTCAAACCCTGCTGTCCTTCTCAGGTTCTACCGGCGAGGCGACCGCAGTTTCAGAAAGGCAGAAAAGCAACGTCTGAAGGCGGAGAAGCGCCTGCTGAAGGCCGAGGTCAAAGAGATCCGGAAACAGCTGAGGATGGAGAGGCGGGGCATACAGTGGAGCTCGTCCCACCGCGAGGGAAGCTCCTCCCCCGTCCTCCTTCAGCCTCGGGCCACTCAGCACAGCAGCCCCGAGTAAGACACTCAAAAAACTCAGTTTCTGGGGTCTCTAATATTTCACTAACTAGGGATATTATTGTTTGTAGAAGATTGTGAAGCAGCTAAAGTCATTTGAAACAAATTTCTTTTACTGTTCCAATAGAAATATATCTTCATACAGTGTCACTTTTAAGTATGTGTAAGCTAGTTGGCAAACATGCACATAAGTGGAATTCAACATAATGCTATAAGCAAATTACATCACAATCACATTTGCTAAGCTAAAGGCAGCTAATGTTGGACGTGGTAACGTTAAGTAGTCTCCTTAAGACAGCTGCTGTTTTTAATGCGTAACACAAAAGCTTCTGACGTTATTTATGTGTACAAAATGTGAATATCTTGTAAGCTAGTATAAAACACAGATCACATTTCAGGAATCATACCAAAAACCTGAGGACGGAGCCTAGTGATAAGAATGCTAACTCATGACCAGGTTCAAGACTCATTCCAGCTACACTCTATTCCTGATGCATGTTTCAATTATAGGTTTATTTAAATATACTTGGATGTGAAACAAATGACCACAGCTGGTCTGAACTTATGTGAAAACATCTTTAAAAGAACATCTCAAGATCCATGCAGGACTTTATTTCTTTCCCAGGCGTCCAAAGCGTCCCTGTCCCCTGGTGGTTCCTACCATGACAGCCACTTTTCTGGATGAGAACCTTCCCGATGGAACCAGACTGCGACCACGGTCAAAGTTTATCAAGTACTGGAAGATGAGGAACACTGGGACAATCAGCTGGAACGCTGATACGAAGGTAAGAGTTCATCCTCCTGCGAGGGTGTTAAGCAAATTTCATGGGAATATGCCAAGTGTGTTAGAAGGCATCTTGTGCCATTGGAGAAAAAAATATCTAAATTGGTAAGGGTTCTACATCTGGGGATGATGAAAGGGCTCCGATCTGCCAACTTGATTTTAAAACCTTTTGTATATAAAGTGTACATATAAGGAAATGATAGCCAGTAATGCTGGTCAAAAAGCTGGTCAGAGTAGCCCAAAGAAATCTCCGGGAAACTTCTGGAAACCATGAATAACTTTTGATTAGATTAATAGAGCTTTAAAAAATATGCTACAGGATACATGAACTACCGTTGATGAGGGAGCATTACTTCTATATGTTCACTTTTTAAATGCTTTGATTTTTATTATATTGCCTCGTCTTTTTATTTTTTTAACAGCAAAGCAAGTCAATATATGTAGCACATTTCAACACAAGGGAATTCAAAGGTTTAATAAACATTAAAAGCATTAAGATATAATGCAACAGAAACACATTCTAAAATGACATTTAAAAACAAGTATCTGCACTTTCTCCTACACTTTCTCCTAACAATGAACGACTCCGAAGCATTTCTGACTCTGATCATATTTCGCTTGTTTTGCTTCCCCCAGCTGAAGTTCATGTGGGGGAACCTGGCGGTGGGTTCTGGGGATCGTTGGAGAGAAGTGTCCGTCCCCTTCCTCCAGCCAGGACAGGTGAGAGTCTGCATTTTTAGATAATCATTGTAAATGTACCTCTAACTTGTTATTTATGTGGTAAGCATTTTCCTGCTGTGTGTGTGCAGGTTGGTATAGTGAGTGTAGCGCTGTGTGCCCCCGGGGTGGAGGGCTCCTACACCTCCCACTGGCGTCTGGCCCACGGCGGAGAGCAGTTTGGCCCCAGGGTGTGGTGCAGCATCGTGGTGGACCCTCTGGCCCCGGCCCCCATGATGGCTGACGGGATCCTGGTGTCCCCCTGTGTCACCCCGCAGGTACAACCAGGATTCTGATAAGACTGAATAAATGCATTGGTATAAAATAAGAATGCACAGTGATGCATAAACACACACACATAGCGACACACTGCAGATAAGGGTGTGTAAGTATGAGCTTCTCTGCAGGGTAAGAACCCGGCGGCAAAGGATGGGAAGGCCTGTGCCGCTCCAGAGCAACCGTTGATGACCGTGGACCAAGAGGAGTACTACACCCCCTCTGTGGACCTGCTCACTGCTCAGGTAACACACCTGCACCCAGCAAACTATTGGCTGCTGAAAATTAAATGTAATATTTATTAGATTAACCACAGGCACACCTTCTAATTCTTGTCTCATATTTAACACACACAGTGGTGGGAAAGTACTCTGAGCACAGTGTAGTAATACTATAGTAAAAGTCCTGCATTCTGCATTTTAATCAAGTTAAAGCACAGATGTATTTTCTGTTAAATGTACTTAAAGTGCCAAAAATATAAAAATCATTATGTAGAATGGTCGAATTCAGGATAATATATATTTCATGGCTGAAGCTAGGTAGAAATAATGTTAACTACCTAAAAATACTGTTGGGCAGAGGTAGTATTAAGTAAGTACTCGGATCTTGTACTTGAGTAAGTACTCAGAGTGAAGGAATACTCTGTTACAAGTAAAAGTCCTGCATTCAAAATGTTACTCAAGTAAAAGTAGAAAAGTGTTATCAAAATATAGTTAAAGTACCGACAGTAAAAGTAGTCATTTTGCAGATTGATCCATTTCAGAATAATATATATGATATGTTTTATAATGATTGATCATGAAAGTGTTCTCAAAGCTGGTAAAGGTGCAGCTAGTTTGAATGACTTTGTATACTGCAGGGTAGCTTGTGGATTTACTCCAGGTGGAACTAAAGTCTGATTTAACACTTGATTATATTTCACGTCATTCATCCAGATCTGTAGAGTAATTAAAGCTATTAAATACATGTAGTGGAGTCAAAGTACACCATTTACCTCTGAACTGTAGTGGAGTAGAAGTACAAAGTAGCATAAAATGGAAATACTCAAGTAAAGTACAAGTCTCTCAAAATTGTACTTCAGTAAGTACTTGAGTATATTTACTTAGTTACTTCCCACCTCTGCTGTTGGGTTCATGTATAATGCTGTTGTGTTACCCATCTTAATGTGCAACATAACTAGTAACTTCATCCTGAAAATAAATGTACTCAGTAGACATGTAACACCTTTAAACTGTACATTTACTCTGCTGCTATCAACTGGTGCACATGCAGTTGGTGGTGTAGGATTACTGCTGATCAGAAGCAGTCCTCCCACTGTGTCCACTCCATAGTTTAAAACAAATATATCATTTTCAATTCCAACTTTAACTTTTGTTGTATTTAATAATAATGTAAAGCAGGAAGGGGCATATTCCGGTCACATATAATACGCCAAATGTAAGCTAGTGTGAAAATGAGCCTGTGTCCACATAGCTCCTTGCATCACTGACAGACTGGCTTTGCCCCCTTGGGTTTTATTATCTTTTTGGGCTACTTAATATGTATTTGACATTTGTTTTCAGCACCCACCGGAGGATGTTTGTTCTCACACAAAAGTACAGTTTAACAAAAGCAGCACATTGTCACATTATAGAATCTTCCTTGATAAATGACTTAAAGGTCTAGTGATTTAGTGTGGTCTTTCACACTCACAAGTGACGGTCCAAATGGAAACAGCAGAGGCTGAAATCCTGACTTTTTATATGTAGTGTAGGTCAAACTCCTAAAACTCTGCCTCCTACATCTCCCATAATGCTGTTCAGAGTGTTTACTAGCTATCTGTTGTTGCTGATCTCTCAGGATCTGCTGTCTTTTGAGCTGTTGGACATCAACATCGTGCAGGAGCTGGAGAGTGTCCCCAACAACACACCTGCTGGTAAGACCACTTCCTGTGTGTCCTCTGGTTGGTGTGTGTGTTCAAAGCTGATATTGATATTGTTTGAATCAACAATACAGACATATAATTGTAGTGAAAAACCAACAATATCCTCTACCGAGGCGGATACAGTTGTGGTTTTTCAGTTTTTCGCTGAAGCTCTCATTGTGATTCTGAATGATTATAAATCAGTGCTACATGTCGGGGGCCTGGCTGATGAACAGACTTCAGTCTCTGATGTCTTTTATCCGTTCAGACATGACCCCATGCATGTCCCCTCTGCCTCAAGATGGCCACCTGCAGGACAAAAGCAGTCCCTCTCTGGGTCTCATCCAGGAAGAGACTGAAGTCATCAATAGCATTATGGGTAAAGGAGTTTTCTATTCATATTTGCTCAAGGTTCTTGGTGGATCATTGACGAAAGCATGCACAGCCTTAAATGCATGTGTGAACTGTCCAAATGAACATATTCACTCATACTTAATGCAAAGAAAAAGACAAATGTCCCCTGTCCAACATCTGCTCAGTCATGAAACAACAGACACCACAGAATGCTATATATGGTCATCACTTCTCTTTGGAATGCAGTACCCTCAATGTGGAGCTACCTATTGTAGCAACAGCAAAAGATAGAAAGCAGTTGTAGAAGAGAGAGATGTACTGAGGACTTTTAACCAATAAAAAGGATAGAGTTTAGTTATTGTCTTGATGCTTGTGGACTAGACTAAAGCTTTATATGGACCACAGTAATAGAGTGGTGCAGTGAAGGGCTCTCTGAACAAAAGCAATGGGATGTTTCAATTGGATTTTGGAATATTGCAGTGAATAAATTATTTGACAAACAAACGTTTATGGTACTTACATGTTTTCAGGCCCGCCCCTCCCTACACGCAGATCACGCAGACTGCGTGGGGCCTCATCTTGCGGAGGGAGACTCATCTGATGCGCAAATGCGGTGCACTTCAGCTTATGCACACATGCAGTGCAATGAAGCGCGCCACAGTTTCGCCACTGCAAGGCTCCGGCGCTCGCAGTTCACGCACGTGCTCCACTACATGCTCCACTACGTGCTCCATATCGCCTAAGTATTTGGCAGCATATGCAGAGTGGGGACGCAGGACAAGTCCATGAGCCGCTGGAAGGTGGCTGGGGCCCCAAACAACCCGAAAGGAAGTGTGACAAATTGGTACAAACCATACGGAGTGGAGAAAGCTGTTTTTTCCGTGGACTCTTGTCATATGGGAATCTGCCAATAGCCCTTGGTTAAATCCAGTGTCGCGTAAAAGTGAGCAGTGCCTAGCCGATCCAGGAGTTCGTCGACCCGGGGCATTGGGTAAACATCGAATTTGGACATCTCATTAACCCTGCGGTAGTCCACACAGAACCGGATTGACCCGTCGGAGTTGCGTACCAGCACGACGGGGTAGCACCATTCACTGGTGGACTCTTCTATCACTCCCATTTCTAGCATGGCCTGAAGATCCGCCTGAACAATTTTCCTTTTGTGTTCTGGCAACCGATAGGGCCGTGAACGAATGGGCATGTCTATGTGGTGGTGGATTAGAGAGTTGCGCCCTGCCAATGGGGAGAACACAAATCGGCAAACTGCCTTTGCAACGAGGCAACGTCTGCTCTCTGACCCGGTGAGAGATGGTCGTCACAACAGACCGGTCACAACTCATCTCCCTCGATCACCGTGGTGGCCAGAGAAGCATGCGCCACCTCCCTCCATGCTTTGAGGAGGTGAAGGTGGTAAATCTGTGTTGCTCCCCCCCCCTGTCAGGACGCACCACCTCATAATATACGTCCCCCACTTGCAGTGTGACCACGAAGGGTCCTTGCCACTTGGTGAGTAATTTAGAGCTAGAGGATGGGAGTAACACAAGCACTTTATCTCTTGGTGAAAATTGTCTCAGTCTAGACCCTCTGTTGTACAGGCGCTGCTGACGTTCCTGAGCCTGGAGCAAATTCTCATGTGATATCTGCCCCAGTGAATGGAGTTTTGCCCGCAGGTCCATCACATATTGAATTACATTTTTACTGGTGTTCAGACACTCCTCCCAGTTTTCCTTAACTAGGTCCAATACACCCCGTTGCTTCCGGACAAATAATAGCTCTAAGGGAGAAAATCCTGTGGGGGACTGGGGCACCTCCCGCACTGCAAACAACAGAGGGTCTAACCATTTTTCCCAATTACGACTATCTTCGTGAACGAACTTACGAACCATGTTCTTTAGTGTTTTGTTAAACTGCTCCACCAGGCCGTCGGTCTGAGGATGGTAAACACTAGTCCGGATTGAGTGGACGCCAAAATGTTCGTACAGCTCGCGTAGTGTGCGTGACGTAAATGATGTGCCCTGGTCAGTCAGGATCTCTTTCGGGATCCCGACTCGGGAGATGATATGAAACAGATGAAACTATTCCCTGAGACAGCTTGGTGTCAAACGGTCCTCCTCTCAGGACCCAGCCTACTGCAAGAGAGGCCAGAATCAGGTTATCAGCATGCTTTTTACTGAGAGCCTCATTACCTGATTCTGATCAGCTGTGTTGCCTCCGGCTGAGCCACTCCCATCACTCCAGCAGCCGGCGCTCTAACCACACCCCGCTGCCACAATGTCGTAGAACAAAACGTGAAGATCTTTTTAGCTTGTATTAACAGGAATCTAACCAAAAAACTCTTGATTTTGAGACTTATGGCGCATTTCCACCACATGGTCGGCCTCGGCCTCGCTCGGTACTGCTAGGCCGCGTTGGGCCTTGTTATGGCCGGCTCACTTCATGCTGCGCTTCCATTACAGTTTAGGAACTGGGGTAGTTACTATATTAACGCAGTGTAGGCGGAGCCGTGACGTCATCTTCAATGAGAACCCCAGAAAAACAACACAGCTGTTAGCTGTTAGCACTCAAGCTCACAGCTCCTCATATCTGTTCAGAAACTAGACAAAAGTTAAACAAGTACAAACCACAGACTGTCTGTGTCATGGCGAATACAGTCGCTGGTTTATTTATGTCTGTATAGGCCGTTGTTGTGAGTGTGGACGGTCGGAGCATATATTGCGTTAGCTTAGCCAATCTCCATCTAGAAAACACGCATTTTAAAAGGTTTTTCACCTGCCGTCTGTCTGCAGACTTGTCAAAGCATTAATTCATGGTTTTTACTAACCGGTATCAGTATGTTGTTACTTCGGCATCATTTTGAAACGTGTATTAAAATTAAATCACGGTCAAATATGTTCATCTTGTTGTAGTTGTAGCCCCCTTGCCAGCGATTCTCTCTCTAGTTTAGCAAACTCAGCCCTGTTTGTTGACCCCGATAGAACCATGATTTTGTCGGGCCAGAAAAGAGGTGAAAAAGTACCCCCGGGCCGGAACTAGGCCTAGTGGAAGCGCAACCAAAAACGGGCCCGGCACGACACGGCACGCTTAAACCGCGCTCCGCGCCATGGTGGAAATGCCCCATAAGGGACCGGAAAATGCTACCTCTTTTTCGGGTTCAGGACTCCATTTTAGCACTTCATTTTATGGAACCACAGAAACAAACTGATGAAATGAAATCATTGAGGGCATCCTATCACCCCAGAAGAAATGCTTTTTTCAAATAGAAGCTGATTTGAAGACATAACATTTGTCCAACTTCCTGTTACTCAGATGTCCCTCATGGGGCGGGATCCGGAGCAGAGGGGGGAGGAGTCCCGGCTCAGGAGGAAGGGGAGGATGACATCAGCGGGACTCAGTTTGTTTGTGAGACTGTGATTCGCTCAATGACCCTGGAGGAGGCCCCCGACCACGCCCCTCTGAGAGGGCCCCGCCAGGGGACCGGTAAAGGTCAGTCAGCAGGGGCTGCTCTTCTGAAGCTGCAGACTAAATTATGTTGCTTTTAATCTGTCCTCAGATTAATTTCCAGTTTTTGATTGCTGCTTTTTTTATCAAAGTAAGGGCAGCGGAAATAATCAAATCTTTATTCCCCTTATTTCAGCCAATACTTTGGCTCTCCATAACTTCAGCTTATTTTCAGCTACAGAAACCATTCAAATATTAAACTATTCAGCCTTTTCAGGAATCGATGGGAAACCTTCAACTTTAAAACAATATGTTATACTTTTTGAAATATTCAGCTTTTTAAACTCTTTTTTTAACATGGAAGTCAATGGGAGGAGCCTTCAAATCCTCTTTTCCTACACCTTACGCCAAATGTTTCTCCTTCCACATACTTTCAGCTTGAGACTTCATTCCAACTTTAAAATGATCACAAGATTTTCAGCTATAAAACTTGTTATTCAGATTTTTGATATCTTTTACATTTTTTGAGATATTTAACTTGGTTTAGAGCTTGGTAGAGAGGCCTTTTTCAGATTTTAACATTAGTGTGGATGGAGCAGCTTTGATCTCAAAACAGAGTGCAGGAGTGCTTGAAATTCTCCCCCAAAAATGTTTTAAACTTGCCATAATTCCCAAACCCTACACTCCTCAGACATATTTGTTCATGAAAAACGTAAGAAAACCTCTCCTAGGTTGGAAAATGTAAAAAAATTAAGAAAAAATATTAAACAACATGCCTCTTGAGGGCATGAAGAGACAAAAGGTCCACCTAGCTCCCAATTGATTCCCATGTTAAATTTTTCCGGATCTTTCTTCAGAGCAGAGAGAAGTACACTTTAGACAAACTGCTCCCATCTCCACATTTTACACACAAAACCAAAAAAACAACATATATCAGTTCATTGGGGTTCCCTGATGCTCACGGTCTGGTAATTTTTTAATAGGAGCCATAGTTTTTGAACAGGTGGCAAAATTGTCAGATATAATCCTCAATGCATTCTTAATGGGACTCAGTGCTGCAGTTGGTAAATCGTCATAAGTCGTCACCATGGTAACCTTTGATCTCTGGGTTTACACACACAGGTGTTTGTAAACATTCATTCACTACTACTTACATTTAATATCTTTATTTAACTCCTTCAGCCTAATTTCAGCTGCAGGAACCATTAAAATATCAAACCATTCAGCCTTTTCAGCACATGATGGGAAACTTTCAACCTTTTCAAAATATGTTATACTTTTTAAAACATTCAGCTTTTTAAAGTCTTTTTTTAACATGGAAGTCATTGCAATGCATTTGAGCTGTAACAATTAACACACACTCTCTCTCTCTCTCACAGACAGACACACACACACACACTCTCTCTCACACAGACACACACCGATGATGATGAATGATCAAGAGAAGAGAGAGAGGGCGATCAAGAGAAGAGAGAGAGGGCGATCAAGAGAAGAGAGAGAGGGTGATAGAAGAGTGAGAGGGTGATCAAGAGAAGAGAGAGAGCACACACAGACACACACGCGCACACACACACTCTCTCTCACACTCACACACACATACACACACACACTCTCTCTCTCTCTCTCTCTCTCTCACACACAGACACACACACACTCTCTCTCTCTCTCTCACACACACTCTCTCTCTCTCTCTCTCACACACACAAAACAAATCAAATCAAGTTTTATTTATACAGATGTAGCACCTCATTTAGGACCGTTTGAAACGCGAGGGCCGTGGTCGGCACGGGGTCTGCCCTCGATCAAGAGACAACCTCCAGCGTGACTTGAGACCGCCCCCGTGATAAATAAATGTAATTATAATGAAGCCAGCTGCAATGGATCATTGATCCACCAGGGGGTGCAGTGGGGTTCCACACTGGAGCTCATGTGAAATCAACTCTGATACATTACGCTGGATGTACAGTATGTCTGGTACTACTGTATAGCAGATCTTTGTTAAGATCCATATGTCACGGATAGGATCATAGTCTGTGCTAAATAAGAGACATGTAATCATTTACAAAACAGCACCATGTTGTTATTTAACAAAATAATGTTGTTTAGTCGAAAAAAACGAACGAGAGAAAATGCAGCCGGCTCTCGATTTTTAATCCTAATTTAATCATCATCTTCACCACGATCATTTATGTTTATGTTCGCCGAATTGACATGAAATCACTGACAAATATGAATATTCTGTATTCAACTTCATTAAAACTTTATTAACGTGCCTAAACTCAGTAATTCACTAAAAATATTTATATTTGAATGGAGCCTCGTCAGGCAGATCAGGATCCCGACGGGTGTTATTTTCCCCACAATGACCAAGTCGCTGCAAATTATCCCGCTTATTACATGGCCACATTCTCAACAAAGTAACGACATGACTCCCAATATTAATTGAAATGCACGATTTTTGACTTTGTTTAGAGCAGTAATCTTCTCTTCCTCTCTGCAGCAGAGAGCTAAGCGCTGTCAGACCGGACCTAACCCTAACCCTGAAAAGTATTATCATCTGAAAGTAAAATGAATCATTATGTTATTAGTATTAAATACATATAAGTATTTTTACAACTTGTATTTATAAATACTCCGTTGTAATTATTGATGCATAAATGTGTTCATCCATTCAATGTGGCATCTGCTATAATTGGGTTAATGTATGATATTACTTAATAATACAATACATTATAATATATGATATGATAATTACATTTGAATTGTATTCATTTCTTATTTCATAGAAACTTATCAAACATGTAATTAAAGAATGGTGATATACACAGTGATAGATGTTAAGGACTAACGTTTATAATAAATAGCCTAGTATTTATCCATATTCATAATTATATTTATATATTCAACAACCATTTTTAATGTAAAAGGTTCATAAAATAAAAGCACAACACTGTCATTGCAAGTGACACTCAGTTAGTTGACTTTTATGTTCAACTGCTAAATTCGGTACTGATAAAAAAGGGCTTCTACCTAATTACCTTAAATAAACTCACTAATTAATGAAACCAGTTCAATACGCATTATTCTTATTCTTATCATTCTTTATGAGCGCAGAAATAGTCTTAAAATCAGACCTGTTTTTTAAATGAAATCTGACGGCAGGCAGGCAGCTCTGATCACCTAATGATAAATGCGCAACACCTAATCGCCGGCCATTCAGCCACAGCTCCCTCTACTGTATGCAAATCAAACTGACGGCGTGAAAGCGCCTATTGTTTTAAATAATGGTCGGAATGTGACCTGTGAGCCTTCTGAATTACCGTGGGATAGCACATTCTAAACTGAAATGTTCAATTAATAAAGTAACATCTTATCTTATCTTAATAATTTCTTCATATTAATAATAATAATAAATCATACAGTATGTGTCCGAAACGGAGCAGGAGGAAGCAAACACACACATATACAAAAAATATACTGCATATTAAAGCAAACGATTGTAAAGGTAAAAGTATGAGCATAACAAATAAAGAAGTATAATGTAAACATTTACATTATTATTATGATTATTTAATATATAAAGACTATATATTATTGAATTACAAGATTAGATATACTTTATTTGATCTAAAATATTGATGTGTTCAAATGCTCTTCAAAACACAACTGAAAGTCCATGAAAAGTTGTCTTTCTGTATTTGTGAATGAAGCGCCATCTCCTGGTTAAATCCTGAAATTGAAAATCTGGCAACGCCCACTTGGAAAATAGTGGGAGGGCTTAACATACCCAGACGCTGGTCTTAGGCAGGTCTTAGGCAGGAAGCTGTAAGCTGGAGTCCTATCTGGAGTGCTACATCTGTAAAGCACATTTATAAATGATTTTTGGTCGAGCCAAAGTGCTGTACAATTAATAAAAATACCCTACAGTAAAGACATTTTACAGCTAATACAACAGCACAGTTTGTTCAGAATATCAGTATGAGAAAAAACGACACCCTCTGTCCTTAGACCCTCACATCGTACAAGGAAAAACTTCCGGAGAAAAACCCACAGTTTAAAGGGAAAAAATGGGAGAAACCTCGGGGAGAGCAACAGAGGAGGGATCCCTCTCCCAGGACGGACAGACGTGCAATAGATGCCGTGTGTAAATCGATGAGATAATACGTTTTACAGCGTAGGTAGACCGAATGTTAGGAAATGCATGTGTCTATAATAAGAAGATGAATCCACGAGGATGTCAACAACAATCCTGTGGGAGCCTTCAGGGAAGCAGCATGACGAGAGCCAGGCAGGACCGCAGAGACAGGCCCAGCCACGACCCGAAGTCCACGACTTAATCCAGAACTCAGGATAGAGGATCCAGGGAGATAGGGAGGTACGCTGTGTCTACGAATCATAACACTCCCCGGCCTGCCTAAGCCACTCTGCAAACCTGTTTCCCTCTAATAAAACCTCGAGAGGTTAGAGAGGGAAAAGGTTTTGGATAAAGAGAGGATAGAAAGAATCGATTACAGGAATAGAGAGTATGAGAAGTAGAGAGAGACAAGATTTAGAAGAATGAGTAGTAGTAATAACCTTATTTTTCAATATACGATCCAAGTTTTTAGGATTTAAGTGAAAGAGCAAGGACCCAAATATAGGTGAAGATGCACAGTGTATCTACGTCAATGCAGTCTTATTTGATTATTATATAAGCTATAAGCTTTATCAAAAAGGAAGGTCATAAGAGTACTCTTAAAACGGAAATACTATCGGTATAATAAGAGAAGGCTAGAAGGCCAGAGAGAAGAAATGAGTTTTAAGTGTTGATTTAAAAACCCCTAGGGTCTGGGCCGACCTCACATGGAGGGCCAAAGTATTCCAGAGCCTAGGGCCCGCTGCCTGCGGACAATTCAAGCCGTGACAACAGGATGCAATGGTCCACAGTGTCAAAGGCAGCTGTCAGGTCTAACAGCACCAGGACAGCTGGGCTACCTGAGTCGGTGGCTAGGAGCAGATCATTAAAAACTCTTAAAAGGGCTGTTTCAGTGCTGTGCATGGGTTTG